CTGCATCTCAGTGGCGTAGGCCTTGTCCCTAACCGTCCTGCATCTCAGTGGCGTAGGCCTTGTCCCTAACCGTCCTGCATCTCAGTGGCGTAGGCCTTGTCCCTAACCGTCCTTCATCTCAGTGGCGTAGGCCTTGTCCCTAACCGTCCTGCATCTGTGTTGTAGGCCTTGTTCCTAACCGTCCTGCATCTCAGTGATGTAGGCCTTGTCCCTAACCGTCCTGCATCTAAGTATTGTAGGCCTTGTTCCTACAATTACCTGCATCTCAGTGATGAAGGCCTTGTTTGTAAGTCACCCGCATCAACTCGATTCTTAACTGGGCCCCATGATCACAATTTTGTAGGCCTTATTCCTGACTCACCTGCATCTCTGTCTTGTAGGCCTTCTCAGTATACAGACGGAAGCACTTCCCTGGCCGTGTTCTGCCGGCTCGGCCCGCCCTCTGCTGCGCTGAGGCCTTGCTGATTGCCGTCACCAGCAGTGATTCCACTCTAATGCGTGGGTTATACACCTGGCCAAGGTAGGAAGCGGGGGCTGTGTTATGTCGAGCAACAAATCGCAGCAGGAATATGTATACAAACTGAATTCAATTTGAGCTGAAGAGTCTTAACTCTCCTTCGCACATTCATCATTTCAATTCAACCAGGCACCTGAAATATACACGTCTGAATTCCCCCCAAGAGCTCCCAAATGTCAGAAGGATAAATAGAACAGTGTTTCTATCCCCTGTGTCGCCTCATATGTATGAGTGTTTATCTGGAGATTTTGCAGCCGACGGGAGCGGATCATTGGAGAAGATTATGCAGTGGGAAGAGGAGGCGTCTAACCTTTTGCTTGGCAAATCCGGGATCAATTACGAAGACCACACCGTCGATCGTCAGGGATGTCTCGGCGATGTTCGTCGACACCACGACCTGCAGGTAGGAACACAGCCAGCTGCCTTCAGTGCCGTGTCGGAGCAGACAGAGAAGGGCTGCAAGCCTCCGGAACGAGGCGGTTTTTCAGCTAACCTGCTCTCTCGCATTCAAAGTGATTCACTTGCGACCTATGCTGGCGAACACTGCAACTTGGTCATTAATGCAAAAGGAGCAGCCAGCCATTTAAGCCGAACACATGCCATGTCCAGTATAATGCAGAGTGAAAATCTCACAGAGCTCAGATGTCACCAAATAAGTTAAGTGTTTATTTGGTTTAATGACGTCTTGGATAGCTTCTTCAGTTATAAGGGGTCATGCTGGTCACCTGCTAAGGATCACTTAATGTTTGTTCATAGAGCATTTGCCTCTGTGAAAATGCTAACGCAGCCAGTGACTGACATCACACAAGAGACCGGCCATCACAACAAAAATAAATTTAGCAAACGGAGGCTCCAGTGCCAGTACAGACGGTGCCTGGGGATTAGAAGGAACAGGCTAAGCTCCTAAGAGACCAGCTCCCACCTCCGCCACCCACACCCAGAAAGAACCTGTGTCTGCCATTTCATCCATCTCACAAGACATGCCCAGGAGTGCATATACAAAAACACTGGGAGAGACGACAGCCTACATTTCAGGAGCTCAAAAATAGTTTGCAAAAGGGCAACACACAGAGACGAACAAATTAAATCCTGTAAATTCGGTGGGTGTCCAGGGTGCACAGCATAATGGAGCCCAACAGAAGAACTGCGGCAACACACAGGGCAATCAAGATGAATCGACCTTAGGCAATCGGAGATGGAGGCTCCTCTTTGGGCTTCCTTGCCGACACTTGGCTGCCCCGAACTAGCTTTGCAAGTTAAACTTCTCGCGTCTTTCCTGAACCGCACTTCTGACAAAAAAAGTTCCAATAATTATTTACGTAACCCTCATTTTTTCCCTCAGTGCAAAAGCGATACGCCGATGATAGACTAATGTCAAAATCGGAGAGCTCCCACATTCAGAATTCATTATTTTGTCAAAACTGCAGCCATTAGAGATGAGAATGCGAGAGAGCCACAGTAAATCAAACCGTAAATTGCTCCCGAAAAACAAACCCTGTCATATTTGAGAAACAAAACAAAATATAGGATGATTCATTCCCCTGGAGGTACAAGCGTCATGTGGCAGAGAAAAGTGCAGTAGGCCGAATTAAAATCACTCAAAATGACAACGGAAGGAGTGCTCAAAACCAACTTTGAAAGGATATATAAGCTGCATTAAAATTAATTATCTTTTTTGAGAAACTGCAATTATTTGAGAAAGGTAGCCTCACCGCATCATATTTTCACAAGAGTGCTACACCAGGGGAAAACGAGGGGAAGAACAAGATTAAATTTACAAGTCTAAAGTTAGCAACATTACAGCTGTATTTATTAGGGACACGTCGTAATGTACAGCTTGGAGACATGGAGGCGTCCTAGCTATTCACCTCGGAGCGCCAGCACATCAAAGCTGTGTGCCCTCTGCTCATTTATTTTTGTTTCACCCTTCTCTCAAACGAAAAGGGCCCAGACAAAAATTATATGAAAAGGAAACATTCAATAAGACCACTTGATGCTGAAAAGCTGCAACTAAAGGGCTTAAGAAACTCCAAAATTCTTGAGAGTCAGAAACACTAACAAAATTTCTCCAGGGAAAGTCTGCTGATTGCAAGTGAAAAGGGGAGGAGGAATTTTTTATCTGGTGGAGCGCAAAACACAAGACGCCAGTATCTTCTCTCTCTCTCTCCAAGCTCCACCACTGCAGGTTGAGAACTACAAGGACCTGTAACTTGGGTTTCTGCTGAACATCTTCCATCTTCTGGATTTCTACAAAGAGCATCATTCTCCAGATCCAGCTCCTTACACGTTGAAACTAACTTCAGCAATCCCAAAAACAGCACTAGACTAACTTAGAAAAGAAGGCACTGCTTGATATTCAAACTGGCACACCTTCATAACCGAGGACGAGATCTTCACCCCTGTATAAATTGAATTAGAAAATGCTCGATTAACCAGGTGTGGTATTTCTTCCTGTCGGTACAGTGGTGGGAGGCCTGGATGGGCCAGAGGTGAGCGGTGCACATCTTCCGCTTAGACTGACCTTCTCGATCATCTCGTTCTGCTTCATAAACCTCATTTGCCGCAAATGATACACAAGTATCTGGAGCGCTGGCATTTGAGCGACCCCATCAATTCATCAGCTTTAATGCGGGGGCCCGAGTGCATGCCTGCTCGGCGGCCTGC